GAAAAAACAAAAATCTTACATTCATGTTTGCACTTGCTGGTCTTTTTGTTTCTGCACTAATGCACAGTGAGTTTTGTTGGGGTTTGTTTAGGGGTGTTTTGAGAGGGGGAGTGCCCCTCAAGCCATTCTGCAGTTCCCAGACTTTAGTTCCTGGTTTGCTGACGAGAAGCAAAAATCGAAAATGAATAAACCCAACCAACTAAGGGCCATGTGTTGCAGAGGCGTCGCCCCAGGCGCCTCTGCCCTGGTTTTTTTTATTTTTTAAAGGCGCTTTTTTACATTCCTTGCAATACTGGTGGAGAGAGCGCAGGTCTCATTGGTCATTGTTTTGCTGTTGCCATACAGTGCCTTTCCATTCATTTACCCCCACCTGGATGGTGTGACCTGGGTGTTCAGCTGGCGTTTTTTACTGTAACAACAAGGAGACTTTGCTCTTCATTTAAACCAAATCATATTTCATATTTTACGCTCGAGGGTTTTTACGAGTTCCTTTTTACACTCTTAAAAACAGTTTTTAAGTCGTTTGAAATGAGGGATTTTTTTCTTTTCCTGGCAGCTTTTAACATTATTGCAATTTGTGTCTGGGGGCTGCTGGCAGGACGTTGTAAATCCAGGGGTTTGCAACGGGACAGGCCGGGCTTTTTTTTTGTTTTTGGATTTGAAACTGGACGGGATGAGGATCTCTGAGCTGCTGTATATAGTTTTAAATAGTTTGTTGCACTTTTTTAAGTTGCACTTATGGGGGGTTGATAGAGGTTTTTAATCACACAAAGTCACAGGACTTACCTTTTCTTTTGTAACAAGCTAAAAAAGGGCTGCGTTTTGGTGGACGATGAAGGTTCCTGGGAGCCCTTTCCTCTTAGAGGGGACAAGTAATTTTCCTTTCCTTCCCGAGATGTTTGGAGTATCAGTGCAGTCGACTGAAATGCTGCTGCTGGGATTTGAGACCTTAATTATGCTGATCATTATTATTTTGTTACTTTCCCCTCTATTGGAAGCTGTGTGCCAAAGAACCAGTGTCATAATTTCTCCCTCTTTACTATGATTTTTTTTTTTTCTTTCCTGCTGAGCTGATGTTGCATTGTTGCATATCCCAGCTGCTCTTTGTGGGGTTTTGTGAAGCTGTGTGTGAAGTCTCTACCTCATTGTAGTATATGCAGGCAAGACTGCACTCTCCTACAGACGTGTGGAGTAAGCTGTGGTGTAGTTTTTGGCACATAATAAACACGTTGCAGCAAAAAAAAAACCCCAACTTTCTTGTGCCTTGTGTCCTTCATGGGAGATCTCTACAGCTTGGAGGGCTGTGGTGTCACTTCCTGGAGGTGTGGGGGAAGGTATGGATGTGGTTTGGGGAGAGGGATGGATGGAGCTATGAATTGTGGATGCTGTGGGTGGGTGACTCACTGGGGAGGGAGCTCTACCTGCTGGGCAGTGCATTTTTAGATTTTCTTTACCCGAGGTCCCTGTGGGCCCCTGGGCTCCAGCTGGAGCTCCCGTAATTGCAGCGAGAAGCTAATGAGGCTGAAGGGAGGGGCCTGTGTTCTCCTACTGTGGCGGTGAGGGGAGAGGGACCCCAGGGCTCCTGTCCGTGGGGCTGGGGAGGGCTGAGTTGGACTTAGGCTGCCGCAGTGGACACCTTGTTGTGCCCATGTCCCTGGAACAGGGAAGGCTTTGGGCTCCTCCTACATCCCATACGTTACTCTGCAGCAGCCTTGTTGTGGTCACACCTCCTCCTTTAGAGCTGGGTGCTGCTTCCACGGGAGCTGTGACTTTGTGAGTGCTCAGTGTCCTCTGTCAGGGCCAGGTGGGGCAGGGGCTGGTGCGACTGTCACCGCAGGTCTGTCACATTCCCGGCCCGGGCTCCTCCATGCGGGGCGGAGCGCTCAGGGTTGCGCCACGACCCCGCCTCTGATCGGCCCCGCCCATCTTCGCTGGAGACCTCCGAGCCGCCAGGGGGCGCGGTGGGCGGCCTTGGTTTCCGGCGCCTGCCGCCATCTTCCGCTCTCTTTCCGCGGCTGCAGCTGCCATGGTGGGTTCGGGATTCGCCATCCGCCGCCATCCTCGGGCGGCCCCGCGGCAGGGAGCGGCGGGGGGGACCGAAAAGGACCGGGGCGAGGGGCAGTGGGGGGCAGTGGGAGCCGGGATGGCTGGGGGTAAGGGAGATTGAGGCGAGGGGCGCCGGGCCTGGGCTCGGCGCAGCCTGACCGGCGGCCCTCCCGTCCACCTCGCGTAGGGGCGCGTTCGGACGAAGACGGTGAAAAAAGCGGCGCGGGTGATCATCGAGAAGTACTATACCCGCCTAGGGAATGACTTCCACACCAACAAACGCGTGTGCGAGGAGATCGCCATCATCCCCAGCAAGAAGCTGCGCAACAAGATTGCGGGGTGAGGGACTGCGGGCCTCGAGTGGGCTTCGGGCACCGCGGGGGCCCGGGTGGGGTTTAGGCAGCTGGGGATGTCCCGAGAGGTTTGGGCAGCGGGAAGATTCGGGCACGGCATGGGGGTTTCTGCTGGGCCCTGCATTCGAAAGTGATTACGGTCCTGCCCGTGGCCGGGTCATTGATAGTGCAGGGAGAGGAGTGCGAGAGTTTTCCCGTGTTTGGGGGGGTCTCTGTCTCCCCCAAACCCTGTTGCTGTCGGACACTTTGTCTCTGATGACCCCTGAAGGTGGTGGGATGATGCCGGGGTCAGTGGTGGGACATTGCCGGGGTAGATGGTGGCAGCTGTCTCCATCCTGCTGTGGTTCCAGAATTTAGAGTGTGGGGAAGGGTGGCATGAACTCTGGGAAAGCCCAGAACATCCCCGTGTCCCCGCAGGTATGTCACCCACCTCATGAAGCGAATCCAGAGGGGCCCTGTCCGCGGCATCTCCATCAAACTGCAGGAGGAGGAGAGGGAGAGGAGGGATAACTACGTCCCGGAGGTGAGGCTCCGGGTTCCCCATCACTGTCCTGCCTTGCTATATCTCCGTAAACGGTCCCGAGTTTCTTTAAAACAAGTCCTTAGCCAGGAGGAGGGTTTGGATCAAGGGGGCTGAGGTGGATCCCTCCAAAGCTGCTACCTGCGACAGGAAGGGCAGCTGGCTTCTCGTGGTTTAGTTTGCCTAACTTAAAATTTGGGAAAAAAATAATTTGATGGGAAGCAGGATGATATATCAGAGTGGCTGAAAACCTGCCCTGGAGCCAGCATCCCCAGAATGGAGGGTTTTGATAAAACCCCCTTGCCTTAGCCCTCTGTTTGGACAGGGTCAAGATTTCACCTGTCCACCTGGGTGAGGTGGTCCAGAAGGACTTCCCTTGTTCCAGGAATATGATCCCGTTGCTCCTAAATCCTGTAGCCTTCAGGCACAGCACACCTTACCCCTTTCCCAGAACCTCCCAGTCGGCTCCTAGCAGAGCTGCTGGTTTCTGTGCTGGCACCAGAGAGGGATTACAGGGAAGGGAGTCTAAGCAGAGAAGAGTGTCTGTGCTGCAGCTGCTGGTGCAGTGTCAGCACACAAACCTGTACTGTGTTGGTTCTTAGAAAAATCCTGGTGTTACATAGCTCTTGGGGAAGGAAACCTGTAGTTTTGGGGTCTGGAGAGTGCTGGAGGAAATTTTGGTGGGATTAAAGAGCGGGAGAGCACAGGTCCTGGAGGTGGGACAGCGTTTGTTGGCACCATGGTGGACTCGTGTCACAAGGCAGATGTGAGTGTCACTGATGACTGCGAGGACAGGTGTAGTTGAGGGTCTAGCACCAGCTCCTTAGCAGCTTTGGCCTACAGCAGGTTGGGCCTTGGTTTCCAAAGATTTGCCATAAAACAAGGTTTTCCTTCCACTGCCAGTGGTTTCTTGCAGTGTTCAGTCAGGAAAGCTGTGTTCCATCAGGATGCACCTGGCTCTGCTGCTGGAACTGTTCCCCACAGCATTGGGCTGAGATGAGAGTGGCTGTGGGGACACCCAGGTAGCTGTGGGACTTTTTTTCGATCATACCTTTTCTCTCCCCTCTGTCCCTAGGTCTCTGCCCTTGACCAGGAGATCATTGAAGTGGACCCGGACACCAAGGAAATGCTGAAGCTCCTGGTTAGTGGCCACAACTGTTCCTTACCCAGCTGCTGGCATATCCCTGGCACAGCTCCTGCTGCCCTGGGTGGCTGGATGGTGTTAAGGGCATCCTTCCACCCTGGGTCCTGTGGGAGGATTAATTCATGTATGGCTTTTGAAAGGGCAGAGGCATGGGGGCTTTTCCACCGGCAGGGTGGGGATGTTCTTTGTCCTCCATTCTGATAATTCCCTCACCAGGGAGTCAATCTCCAGAGCAGGATGGTCTCCCCGTCTTAGAAAACCTGTGTCACCCTTTGTGCTGCCACAGCACCTTCCCACTTTTCACACCTTTCCAGAGGAACTTGCTTCCAGTGTCAATGGGCAGGATGCTGTGACTGATCCCATTGTTCCCATGCTGTTTTCCAGGATTTTGGCAGCCTGTCCAACCTGCAGGTGACACAGCCCACAGTAGGAATGAACTTCAAGACACCCCGAGGAGCGCTCTGAGTCTGTCCCTGTGTGTCACTTTTCCAATAAACGGGAGGAAACCATCTCAGCCTGCCTGGTCTTTAGACACCCAGGGGATGAGGGAGGGTGGGTTCTTGGGGTGCTGCATTGGAGCATGCGGTAGATTCAACACGTTTGTGTGTGGCAGCATCTTTTGGGGTTCTTTCATGGCAGTTCTGGATGTGAGGCGCAAAGCTGTTATTTTAGAGGTTCTCCTGCCTCTGGGGCAGCCAACCATGGTGGCTCCTTGGATCTTATGGGAGCCTGTCCTAGGTTTATCTGTGCTTCCTCCGGGTGGACAGCCCAGGGATCAGGCTGTGCCTCAACAGAAGTTGCTTTTTATAACCCTACTGGTCACTTTCAAGTGCTTACATGAAAAGTGTTAAATTTCCTTGATTAAATGAAAGTGAGTCTCCTTGGTGTGTCCCTCCAAGGAAAACTTGCTTAAACCAATTAAACACAGCTTAAACCACCACCACCTCACCCCGGAATAAAAACAAAATATTTTGTGTTTTGAGAAGGAATGTCTGTATTTATGTTTGTTGTGAAATTTAGTTTAAGTAGTTACTTAAAGAAGCAAATACTGTAATAACTGTAGCCAGTACTTAAATAACACATTGAAAACTCTGAGCTGCAGTCAGATAATTTATAAATCATCTGGCAGCTCTTACAGTGAAGTTTTTGCTGCTCCAACCACCTGTTCCTTAAAATTTCCTCTTCTTTTTGGTCTTGCAGTAAATGCTTAATTTGCTTTGAACCCAGTACACTGCATAGCCTGAGGTGCCAGGGATAAAGTCATGGAGTTCCCCCTCGTATTTCTTCATGTCCCGTGCAGAGGCATAGCCTGTGGAGAGAAAATGGACACATTGAGTCCCTGCTCCATCTGCCCCATCCGCAGCCCTTTCCAGGTGTATTTACCTGTCACCATGTTATTTTTTGGGTATTCCTGGAGGGCACGGTATGGAAATTCTCCCTGGGCAGGTGCTTCAGAGTCTGTTTCTTCACTGCTATATGAGGAGGGAAAAAAATCTGTGTGTTAATTCCTGTTTGTTAGGACTGTTTGGAATCGGGGGTGCATACAAATCCCACCACCCAAGGTAGGAAAATACCTCTCAGCCAGGTCTAGCACTTCCTCCCCTGTTTCTTCCTCACTGCCATTTCTTGCCACTTCTGGTTCCTCTGCCGTATGTTCATTGGGCTGGGAGTATCAGTGCAAGGATGAGTGACAATTGTGCCCTGGGTCACCTGCAGAGCACCTGAGACACACTCTGAGTCCATTAATTTTTAGAGCTCACGATTTCAAGCATAATTCAGAGTTAAATTTTAAATCTAAGGGCATTCCTGCTTCAAGAGTGCTGGGAAGTTGCTTTGAGGGGAGAGTGGGCAGTGACATGCGGAAGGAAAACAACACACCAAAGGGCAGCCTGTGGCAGTTGGAGTTCCTGGAATTCTCCTGGGAGACTATATATGTCTGGGCAAGGGAGACAATCCTTCCACTGCTATCCCCCTCAGGATGTCATGCTGGGAGGGATACAGAGTACAGCAAGCACAAGGAATCAAAATCAGTTAGGTTGGAAAAGACCCTCGAGTCCAACCAGTGACCAATCACCACTTTCCCAACCAGACCAGAGCACTGAGTGCTGTGTCCAGTGATTCTGGACAGCTCATTCCAATGCCTAATCACTCCTTCCAGGAAGAAATTCTTTCTGATGTGCAACCTACACCTCTCCTGGTGCAGCTTAAGGTGGTGTCATCCTGTCCCTTGGTCCCTGGGAGCAGTGCCTGACCCTCACACAGCTCCACCCTCCTGTCAGGAAGTTGTGCAGAGCCAGAAAGTCCCCTCTGAGCCTCCTTTTCTCCAGGTTCAGCTCCCTCAGCTGTTCCTGGTGCTCCAGACCCTCTGTTCCCTTCTCTGGACCTGCTCCAGCACCAAAATGGCCTTCCTGAATTTAATTGAGGGGTCCAGAACTGAACACAGCACTCAAGTTGGGGCCTCAGCAGTGCCCAGTACAGGGGAAAAAAATCACTTCCTGGTCCTGCTGGCCACACTACTCCTGACACAGGCTAGATGCCATTGGCATTCTTGGCCATCTGGACTCATGTTTGGCTGCTGTTGATCATTACTCCCAGGACCTTTCTTGCTGGGCCACTTTCCAGCCACTCATCTCAGTCTGTAGCTCTGCAGGGATAATTGTGGCCACAGTGCAGGATCCAAACCTTGGCTTTGTCGGCCCTCATACAAATGACCTTGGCCCATTGATCCAGCCTGTCCAGGTCCCTCTGCTGAGCCTTCCCAGCCTTCAGTAGAACCACGTTCCCACTCAACGTGGTGTCATCTGTTTTTCTGCTAGTGGTGGACTCAGTCCCCTCATTTGGATGGGAAATGGTGCCAAAAGCTTTGCTGATGTCCAGGTAGGCACATCCACAGCCTTTCCTTCATCCATCAGGTGGGTCCCCTCATCATGAAAGGAAATCGGGTTGGTCAGGTAGGACCTGCCCCTCCTAAGTCCATGCTGGCTGGGTCTGATCCCTTGGTTTTTCTGTATGTGCTGTGTGATGGCACTCAAGGTGATCTCTTCCATAACCTTCCCTGCCACAGGTCACACTGAAAGGCCTGTAATTCCCTGGATCCTCCTTCCAACCCTTCTTGTGGATGGGTGTCACACTGATACCTCATTATCTGGGACCTCCCCAGTGAGCCAAGACTAATGATAAATGATAAAGAGTGGCTTGGCAAGCTCTTCCTCCAGCTCCCTCATCACCGTGGGATGGATCTCATCCAGATCCACGGACTTGTGAGCATCTAAGTGGCACAGCAGGTCACTGACTGCCTCCTCCTGGATTTCTGGGGGTCCATTCTCCTCCCTGTCCCTGTCTACCAGTTCAGGGGGCCATTTGTCCTGATACAAGCCGTCTTAGTGTTGAAGGCTGAGGCAAAGAAGGTCTTAAGTACTTCAGCCTTTTCCTAGTCTTTGGTGATGGGCACTCCAATAAAAAATGGAACTTTTCCTTGGCCCTCCTTTTGTTAATATTTATAAAAGTATTATCCTTTACAAAGGTGGTCAGATTAAGTTCTAACTGAGCTTTCACCTCCTTACTTTTCTTCTTTCTGCGTAACCTAAGGACATCCTTAAACGCTTCCTGAGTTGCCTGCCCCTTTTCCCAAAGGTGATACATGTCTTTTTTTTTTCATAAATTCCTGTGAAAGTTCCCTGCTCGGTGCAAGCTCATCCTTCAGCACATACATGTGTAGTAAAAATTTTTCATCTTACCTGTTCTTCAAGGGCATCTGCCTTCTCCCAAATAAACCAGCCAATTTTCCTTCTGATTTCTGCCAAGAGCAATAAAGCTAGTGACTGTGAGAGCATCAAAGAACAGGACTGTGGTGGTCGCTGTGATGCCCTGCAGGTGCCTCTGGGGACAAGCCCAAATGCAAGGTCCTGCCCCTGGGCCAGGGTAATCCCAAGCACAAAATCAGGGTCGGCAAGAATGGATTGAAAGCAGCCCTCAGGAGAAGTACTTGGGAGTATTGGTAGGTGAGAAGCTCATGGATATGACCCAGCCACGTGTCCCGGGCTCATCCCACAGTGTGGGCAGCAGGTAAGGAGAGGATTCTGCCCCTCTGGCCCACTCAGGAGCAGCAGTACTCCTCCAGCTCTGGGGGCCCCTACAAAAGGGCATGGAGCTGCTGGACAGAGTCCAGAGAAGGCCATGGACATGCTCCAAGGACTGGAGCCCCTCTGCTCTGGAGCCAGACTGGGAGAGCTGGGGGTGCTCACCTGGAGAAGAGAAGGCTCCAGGGAAATCTCAGAGCCTCTGCCAGGGCCTAAAGGGGTTGCTGGGCCTGGAGAAGGACTTGGGACAAGTGCCTGGAGTGATGGGACAAGGGGGAAAGGCTTCAAACGGAAGGCAGGATTAGATGGGATACTGGGAGAGTGGTGAAGGCCTGGCACAGGTAGCCCAGAGCAGCTGTGGCTGCTCCATCCCTGGCAATATTCAAGGTCAAGCCATTCTGTGGATCATACTTTGCCCTCTGGGAGGAAGAGCCACTCCAAAGCAGAAGGAAAAGTCCCTCCCTACAGGCAAGTAACTGACAGTTCTAGTTTGCACCAAGGCTGCACTCATGGGGGATTTCCCTGGGAAAATATCCCCAGATTATTTTTTTGCCTGACCTTCTTGCAGGCAGGCAGGAGGCAGGACGAAGTGGCCCAGAACCACTGGGGGCTTCTCTCCGGTGCCAGTGTCTGCACACACTGAGAGGTAACAGGAGTGAAAGACCGTGGCTCTGCCCTCCAAGTAACTGAGGCTCTCGTGTATGCTGGAAAAGAGAAAGAGAGCTGGTGTCCAAAGGGGAACCTGGAAGCAAAACAAAACTGAAACGTTTAGAGGAGTATTGTCATTAAATCTGCTCTGATATTTTTGCCAAAAGCATCTAATTTTCTGCGATTTTCCAGCTGTGAGACTCTACCAGTCACATCCTGTTATAGTCCTGGCTGCCAGCACCTCCCAGGAGCAGCTCGGAGAAAGGACAAAGGTAAACGTATTTTTAGGGATTACACAGTCCCATTCTGCTCTTTGGTGAGGGCAAAGCTACGATTTTTCTGCAATTATCCTTCACCACACTGGTTCCTGCTCACACAGCTGAGCAAGGAAGCGGAGGTGGAGGGTGCTCCAGCCCTCACTGTCCTCCTTAGAGGGGAATTAAATCTTGTTTGCTGGGTATAAGGATGTGTATAATTATTACATTTTTTCACGAGAAACTATCTAAATATATATATATATTGAATATATATGTTTAAGAAATTATCCAGAATTCCCCTGGAGGAACAGGCTGGTCTGGCAGCACGTTGTTGCAGAAGAAAAGTTGTTATTCTGTGTTTATTGGCATTCCCCTTGCTTAGCTGAAGCAGGTGGCTGAAAGCTTGCAAAATTCGAAGCCAGTTTTAAGCACTGGTGTGTTAAAAAGAAACTACTTAGTCCAGCCTAGCAAGGCCTAAAAGAAACATTACGGCTTCCTTTCCCATAAATATGTTTACATTACTAAATAATGAATAAATACAAATATTCACTGATATTGAGGAAGTGAGGAAGATCCTGAAAACTTTCCTTATATTTGTACAAATATTCTATAGCTCTCTATTTTTTTATATTAAGCATTTCAGCCCTTTTCCATCCATTTCTGCTTCCTTTTAGCATTAATTCACACTGGCTTTTTAGCACCAGATTCCTTCTTTGGGAATTGTATCACCTCTGTTTTAGATGCTGATTTTCCAGCAGATAACTCACATCCAGCAAGAAACCAGCACAATTAACTTAATATTTATCACAGTTAAGCCTCTCTCAGCACATGAATGATTTTTCTCTATTCTGAGAAATCTACAGCTTAGTGAGTGTTTGAGTTTTACTGACCCCATTGGGCAATGAGATCCTGGCAGACCCACACCATGACTTCAAAAACACCCCCTTGAATTTTACAGGATGACAGTATTATCCATGTAATACTTTCCAGTAAATACATTAAAGCCTCCTTTGCCCACCTGCGGGTGTCGGGGTGAGAGGCGTCGCTGCTGAAGAGGTACTCGGCATCCAGCCAGTGGGTGATCGTCCCGCCACCGTCCGCTGCAGGGGACAGGGAGCGACATGAGGGTGGGCAGCCAGGGGGTTCCCACCTCGGGGTGACCTGGGATGGGGACAGCTGGTTGTGAAGCTGCAGAGACAGGCCCTGAAGTGGAAGCTGAGATAGCTCCCATTGCTCCCCTGAGGGGTGCTCAGTAGTTTTTCCTCAGTGTGGGGGCACCACTGACTGGCCAAACTCATGCTCTGCCCTGTTGTGTGGGTCTCAGACCTACGAAGGAGTGACAGGGCTGTGCCCCCACTGCTGTGTCCTGCTGAGGAATTACGGGGCTGTGCTGCCCTTCTAATTCCCCCTGAGTGGTGACAGGGCTGTGCTCCTCCCAGTTGCCCCGCGGATTCCTGCCAGCTCGGTGCCCCGGGGCTCCCCTGGACTTCTCCGTCGTCCGGCCCGCTCACCCCAGAGCCCCCGCGGGCCCGGGCTGACGCTCTGCGAGAACCAAGCACGGCGTCCGCGGAACATCGCGGCGAGAACCGCCCTGAGAGAAGACGACGGCAGGAACCGCCCTGAGGGGAGACGATGGAGGGAACGGCCGTGAGGGGCTGGGGGGAGGCGAGAACGGCCCTGAGGGGCTGGAGGGAGGCGGGAACGGCCGTGAGGGGCTGGGGGGAGGCGAGAACGGCCCTGAGGGGCTGGAGGGAGGCGGGAACGGCCGTGAGGGGCTGGGGGGAGGCGGGAACGGCCGTGAGGGGCTGGGGGGAGGCGAGAACGGCCCTGAGACGATGGCAGGAACTGCCCTGAGGGCCTGCGGGGAGGCGGTAACTGCCCGGAGAGGAAGCGGCGGTGGGAAAGCCCGGCGAGAGGGAGAACGGCCCGAGCTGTGTCGGGGAGTTTTAAGCTGCATATTACGGAAAGGTTCTTCCCTCACAATGTAGCCGGGCACTGGAACAGCTCCCCAGGGCAGCCCCAAACCTGAGAGAGCTCAAAGGGCACTTGTGCTCTGAGGCACAGGGTGGAATTTTGGGGTGTTCTGTGCAGAATTAGGAGTTGGACTCGAGCCTTTTTATAAAAACACCTCCTTGCATTTTGCTGACTCTGGAAACTGCTTGCAGAAAAATCGCTTGTATTTCATAAAGCACAAATGAGGCTTGTTTCATGCTTCAAGCTTCCCAGGATATCTCTGAGGATCGCCCATCCCCTGGGAACTGTTGCCAGCAGCAGCAGCAGTGCAGCAACATCCCGAGTACCTCAGAACCCCAAGGATGCTGGATAAAACAGAGAAGGTATTTCTGGACATGGTCCTGAAATGCAACTGTTAAAATCAGCTTCTGGTGTGGGCATGCGTTGTTCTCCTACAGACAGGGGATTTTTGAGTAAACCAGCAAAATATTTCTTAAGAAAGAACATAAAAATCCCACAGATGCAATCAGGGCAGACTTCTCCATTGTGGGAAGATGATGTGTCCTTTGGAGACAGGGTCATTTCACATTGCCTCCAAAGAATCTTCAGTTTCTGTAGTCGACTCCACTCCTGTCCTAATTAGGATGAAGTTCTCCTGGTGGAGAGGTTACCCAGCCATTATTCTGGGGCTCTTGAGGATAGGAAAGGTGGAGCTGAGGTGGTAGAAAGCACTTTGGTAGTCCTTCATAATCCATAGGAGGAGGCCAGGACATGTTCCACAGCTCTTTGGGCTCACGCAGCAGTTTGTGGTGTGTCAGCCAAAGCTGAAACCTTTTCCCCTCTCCCAGGCCACCTTCTCTCACACAGGGACCACTGCTGGGGCTGCCTGGTCCCCAGAGTGCATCCCTGCAAACAGAACTTTGTGTTGTGTCCTGCTGCCCCATGCTTAGTGATTAGCACTGTGCACAACCACCCAGCCATGACAGCCCCACCTGTCCTGGCTGAACACCCCTTTGGTGAACCCAAAGGGATCCCCATAACATGGCCTTGCCCTTCAGCAACTTCCCACGAGAATGCTAGAACTGCAACAGCCTGGATTTTCCTAATCCCTAACAACAACAAAAAAAATATTATAATGAAAATAGCTATGGAACAAGACAACATCCATCAAAAATCTCAAACGGATGTACTGTGACGCTATCACAGCAAATTTTAATATACTCAAGAAGAGACATGGGAGGTCCTGAGTCACTAGGAACCCTTGATCCCATACACATGATCCTGGTTAAATCCATTTGGATACAATATTCCTCAAGCAATCATTCTGATTTCTTCATAAAATAAAAATGAGCTGATGGCAGTAGCATTGGTTTTGGGTAGCGTCATCAATCCCCCACAGTACAACAGAGGACTGGCCCCAACTGCGCTTCTCTATGGGGTCAAGCACAGAGAGAAAACCAGAACTGAAATTCACCAGCACACACATCTGCTTCCCCCAGGCTCAGCTTTACACCACACACTCCAAGATGCATCAGCTGGAGCTCTACCCCTTGGAGCGAGCACCACTCCCTGCCATTGCTCCTTCTGTGTCCCACCCTATGTCCCCAAGGCTCTTTACTCCTTTTTAAGCCTTGTGCCTTTCCTTCAGAGCCACGCAGGAGCCAGGCAGATACCATACCAGCAAAAAAAAAAAAAAAAAAGAAAATCTCCAGTTCTCTTTTTATTGATGGAAAAGTGCTCTTGCATCTTCTCAGTGGGACAAAAAAAAGCACAACTGACCATCATGCCACCAGGGCTACATACCCACCCACAACCCATCAGAGCCTGTGAAATCAGCTTGGGCTGTCAAATTACTCTGAAGACACATTTTAAGGACTAGCAGTTTATTAAGGTATAAACACCCTGAAACATTTGGAGCAGTGAAGAGCTACCATTTTTTTTAAGCAGTAATGTGGGCATTTTTAGCTATATGCTCAAAAAGTCTGCAGGGATCCCTTGATGCTGTGGTTAAGTGATATTTTTAGCAAGGCTTATTAGCGAATTTCTGAAAGGAAGCTGATCACTCTTGTGCATATGATGAAGAATGGACACAGGCTTGAGAAGACTTTGACTTCCAGGATGATCTGCATGGAGAGAGTAGATTGACATCAGTCACTCTAGTGACACCTTCAACTGTAATTATTTTAGGATTAAAAACCAGTTTCCTCAGAGCAGGCTGACTGCAGTGTCCTTTCAGAACCACTTTCCAGTGAGATTCAGGTAAAAATCCTGCAGGAACTGCTTTTCTTTCCCCTCCTTGGTGGAGTTCAGAGTTCAACAAAGAAGGATCCTTTGTTATCTACCCCAGAGAGTTTGTCCTGCTCTCAACTCTTTCCATGCCAGCTCAGTAAATCCTTGTCCCCAGACCACAGTGAAGGCACCCACATCCCACCTCCACCCAGACTTGTGATCCCTCACCAGTGTCCCACCAACCAAAGCCTTGGTGCTGTGTGGGCGCAGCACATTCCAAACCCAGCCTTCGGGCCAGGTTTGCATCCTCACTGCCCAAAGGTGAGTGACAAAGCAGAGAAGTGACTGTATACAACTTCTTAGAGCTCTGCAGGAACTGGGGCATTTCATGTAAGGGTCCTGTCAAGGCTTGTTCCAGGCACAGTTAATCACTATTTCAACCAGGGTTACATCAGCTGGGCCACATATTCAGTTTCTTTTCCCTATCAAGTGTTAAACTAGAATTTCCCCATTGCTAAATCCAGATAAATAGATAGTTTGAAGAACTTGGAGCCCTCAGACTGAGACACTGGTGAATAAACCCAGAAGTGTTTCTGGTTTGTGCTTCATGAATTCCACATTGCGCTGCCCTGCCATCCACCCTGTGGCACAGAGATCTCGAGTACAGTGACTTCCTGCTCCTCCCCTGACAGGATACAGCACGTCAGGGCCCGAGGGAGCTTTAGGGGACCTGCGACAACTCTCTGCGGTATCTAGCTAGCACAGCAACAACATGCAGAGAAGATTTCCTCCAAAGTTCTATTGTAGGTACAGGATGGCCAAAACCAGACCAAAATAGTGGGCAGAAAGGGCGTGGGAAGAGTTTTGTGTCCCAAACCAGCACTAATATGATCTATTTTTTGAGTGCAGTTGCTTCCGGTCCTCAACTTTTCAAACCCTCCCCCCCTACAGACATACGTGTGTGTTTCCCTTGCTAGCATGGCATATGCTACTATAGGAATAACTCACCATGAATTATCCCAGCTCAGAAGTCTGGTTCTGCAGGAAAGAAGCACAGAGCATTAGATTTGGTGGCAAAGGGCACAGTCTCTCCCCTGTCCCCACCAAGGTTCCCCCCCGGAAACAGCCCCAGTGTGGTAACCAGAGTTGCCCTCAGCTATAGCTGAGGCTTGGTTACCACCATCAGCCCCAACCGCTGCATCCTTCTTTATATTCACACAACATAAAGCAAAAATTCACTGCATGACCCATCACTTTCTAGTTAAAGTCACCAAGGCAGAGATCGGGTGACAGGGCATTACCAAATCCTTATGGATTAACACCAACGCGTGTCCTCCCTGAATCCTTCACAGGCACATGTAACAGCCTTTCCAGATAAAACCAAGTTAATTTTCTGTCTCTAACACAAGACCTTCAAACCCCACTCCGTTACAACACCCTGCTTCCCAGGAAAAGAGACAGCATGGATATAAAGCAAGAAGCTCCCACATGCAGGAGGGAAGGCACAGCATACCCCATCGGTAAATGAGTGGCTCGGCCATGGAAGAATGCACCACCCTGCAACTGAAGGTGTCACCCCTTGTGGGGATGAAGGGCACATAGACCAGGCGCTGGAACTGCCACTTCTCGTTGAAGGACAAGTCTCCGTACTTGACGCCGGGAATAGAATTCCCATTCTTCAGGAGTTGGATGTCAATCTTGGGTGGGTGAAAGCCAGTGACGAAGCAGTGGAGGGTGTTCTCCTTTCCCTCCTCGGCGCGTGAACGGGCGTAGACTTCGACCTTCGGCGCCTCTGGAGAGAGGGCGAGGGCGAGTGAGAAGCGGGGCTGCGGTGGGCATCGCCTCGATGCCAACACTCGCCCACCCACCTGGGCACAGTGACCCAGACCCGCCGGGACCCCGCGGCCCTTCAGCCCCGTCAGGACCCTTCGCGCCGCCCCAGGCACTCACCACCGGCCGCCTCCTGGCCCAGCAGCGCCAGCAGCGCCAGCACACCGAGCGCCAGAGCCCCTCGCGCCATCGCCGCTCCTCGCTGTCCCGCCGTTTCCCGGAATGGCCCACCCCTGCCAGCACTCCGCCTTTTATAGCCTCCGGAACCGACGGCCAATCGTGGCGAGGAGCGGCTCCTACGTCATCGGTCTCCGAGCAGAACGGGAGGTCCGGGGTTGTGCGAGCCAGAGCGGCGCTTTCGCTTTCAGTTCCGCGCTGGGCGGGGGGACAGACCCGGAGACCCGGGCGGAGACCCTGGGGCGCCGGGCAACAGCGGCTGGACGTGAGCCCGGCTGGGCAATGGCACCTGGTCTGGACCAGCCCCGGTGTGACCACAGACCCAGGGCAGCGCCCGTCCCCTGGGCACTGCTGAGGCCACACCCCAAATCCTGGGGTCAGCCTTCACCATAAGAAGGACATTGAGGGGCTGGAGAGTGTCCAGGGAGGAGAACAGAGCTGGGGAAGGGGCTGGAGCACCACGAGCAGCTGAGGGGGCTCAGCCTAGAGAAAAGGAGGCTTGGGGGAACCTTTTTTCTCTGCAACTTCCTGACAGGAGGGGGCAGCCAGGTGGGGTTGGGCTCTGCTCCCAGGGAACAAAGGAGAGGACAAGAGGAAACAGCTTCAAGTAGCACCAGGAAAGGTTTAGATTTGATCTTAGAGAAAAGTTCTTCTCTGAAAGGGCTGTCCGACTTCGCCACAGGCTACCAGGGCAGTGGTGGAGTCCTCGTCCCTAAAGGGATTTAAAAGCATTTGGGGACACGGGTGGCCTTGACCGTGCTGGAGGAATGATTTGACTTGATGGTCACAGAGAGCTTGTCCAACCTATATGGGGGTAAAAGTCACCTCTTGCAGAAGATTTTGCATCCAGGGCCAGTATTATACCAACAGCCTATGGTGGAGCAAGCCGTCCACCTTCCTTTATGAACCTCTTTCAAAACCTGCATGGAATATCTCATTCCAGAAGCTGCAGGGTGAGAAACTGACTGTTGTTTGAGCACTGCACAGACTCCCTGACATAAAACATGAGAATTCTAACACCAAAAGAACAGGTTTTCTGGTGCTTCCACCAAAGTCCAGAGAGGCTAAGAATGCTATTGAGTATTCCAGTAATGCTGCTTGAAAGGAAAACAAAGGGAAAAGAAAGTCACTACTAGTGGGAGAAAACAGCAGGATGGTGTAAGTACCAAAACACTAAGTCCCTTTAGGACCTGCTTTCTTAATGCAACTCATTAAAACACAAACGAAATTAATAAAGCATGTATGGAGAACATCCCAAAGGCAGCAGGTAAATCAAGAGAGGCCAAGCAAGGGAAAATTTTGAAAACACTTGTTATCAGTTCCCACTGGCCCAGCTCCTGCTGGGTTTGCTGGCTACTCAGTGACCAGTGCCAGCCATGCAGCTGAAAACACGCAATGTTTTTCTCAATGTGGGATAAACAGATGCAGCTGTGGCCAGAGCCTTATCAAGGATCTCAGGGCTCCGGTAGAAATAATCCCTGAGTGCTCTATCGGTGGCAGAGCTGTTATTAGGGTCACCACATCAGGACCCACCACCCCGGTCCAGCTGTCCCACGGGTGAATCTGGCTCTGCCCAAGTGGACACTCCCCTCGGCTTGGGGAAAGGATGGCAGGACATGGATCCTTTCCAGGCCCTTTGGGATGTGAATCCTGGCAATGACTCTACTGTAACCCACACCACCTGTCAGAATTTCTCAGTAAAGAGGAGCACAACTCTTCCACATTATGTTTATAAAAAGCCACAATGATTTGGTTAGAATAGCCAAATCTTCCACTTTTGGGATATTTCTGCTTTTATTAGCAGAATATTGGAAGAATTATTTGTGAGTGAGTGACATGACCAAAGTGCTCCTGGTATTCAGGGGGATAAGGGCAACCCGCTATGCTTTGTGGGATGCAGAAATTTGTAGTGTTAGTGTTGACTGCTGTGCCCGCTGTTATCTACCAGAGTATTCAATCCCGACAGGGACACATCCCACCAGTTTTCCATAACTCCTCAGAAGGATATCAGCTCTGAGAACACCACGGCAGTCAAGGAGCGACGCGATCAGTAGGGAAAGCTGGGCTGGAGTGCTCTGTGCTCCGAGAGCCGCAGGTGGAGTCAGTAGACCTCTTCACGCTCACTCCTCTCTCAGCTCCGGCCCTTCCTCGTTGGGGGGCACGGCGAGGCGAGTGCGCAGGCGCAGGACGCCGCTGGGAGCCGCCATGCTGTACGGCAAGCGCATGCCGGGGCGGCGGAGGCGGCCCATAAAAGGGGCGGCAGGGGCAGCGTGGTCCTGTAGAGTGACCCGGGACGGACGGCGGGTGGGTGAGCGGGAGGCGGAGGCACCGGCACCGTGGAATGGCGGAGGGCGGTGAGCGCATTGTGAGTGTCTGCCCTACTCCGCTACCCGCTGCCGCCTCCCGGCGTCCCGCTCCCTCTGCGGTGCTCGTTCTCCGGGGCTGGCGCTGCTCGGTCTCGGAGCAGACTCTGCCCTAGAGGTGCTGGTGGGATGCTCTTCCCTGCCTCGTGCTCGCGTGCCGCTCGTGCCCTCGCAGCGGCTGTTCACTCTGAAGCCTAGTGGTGTCTCAACCCAGCCGCACTGGTGCCGTTCCGTGCCGGCATTCGCTGGTACCGGCAGCTTCCGTGGGCTGAGCCTGCGGGTCCTGTCCTCACTGGCAGTGCCGCTGGCTCCTGCTTTTCCCTTTTCCAGCTGTGAGCCCTGTGGGTTGCCTGGCACCACCAGCAGAGGGAGGGCGAGGTTGGGTGCCCCCCCCGGCTTTGGGAGCTTGTTAGGGTCACCTCTCCCTTAGCGAGGAATCTGCTGCTTCTAAATCCAGATTCTCGAGGATTTTCTGCTGGTGGAAGATGCGCTTCTGCTGGAAGAGATGGCTGAGGAGGATGATGAACTCGACCTGTACAACGAGATGACTTTTGGGTTAGGTAAGACCTCAGGGGGGTGCTCGTGTTGGAGAGACGTGCCAGCACCCGGAGGGAGCAGACACCCTGGTGGGCACTGCTCAGGCATTCACCTGCCCTGCTGTGCACTGCTTCCCCCCCCTCTAAGACCGAGACTCCACAGAGGAGGATGTCCCAAAACTCTTGGAGGTACCAGAGATAAACCCTGAGGTGGCCAAAGCACTGGTAGAGGCAACTGGAAGAACGGCTGAGCAGCTGGAGGAGCTGGCCGAGGAGGAAGGCGGGATAGATCCCGAGGTGGAGCAGGTTAACTTTCAGTTGGAGGAAGAGGTAGAAGAGCTGGGTGCTGAGGAACAGGAGGACGATCAGGAGTGCTTTGAGGAGCCCGGTGAACTGGGAGACCCAGCAGTGATGAGAGCTGTGCGGAGTAAACCCACGCTGGAGGTGATGTATGAGTGGACAGGGGGTCCTGCTGCTCCCCCCTCCCTTCACACACCTGTGGGTCCTGTCCTACTGGAGCAGGGAGACAGACCTTTAACTCCCCTTTCCTTGCAGAGCCAGGACTCAGCAGTGCTGGACAGCAGGATTGATACTTGCTGGGGAGAGTTTGGCAAGGAGGACATGGTAAAAATGTCCCTACCCATCTGGTGATGAGATGGAGTGGCTCCTGTGGTGTCCCCTGCTCCCTCCTCCTGTTCACTTGCCTCGTGCCAACATCTCCCTGTTTTCCAGCTAACGATGGATCCCACGGCATGGGACTCCTGCCCTGGCAGTGTCTCACACCACCTCATGCTGGAGGTGGGTACCTCTAGCCAGGCCTTCAAGGGGTGGCTAAGGGCTCCCACTACTCTAGGACAAGGGTCACACAAGGGGAGTTTGGGACACCTGGAGGTGCACAGATATATCTTGAGTGCCAAGGCTGCGAGTGCCCACCCAAAGCAGAGCCTGGGTTTGAAGGAAAAGTTGTTGAATTTGGGGGGACTGGGACCTCCATGTTGGGTCTTCCCATGGGTCCCCAGCTGCTCCACACGGCCAGGGTGGGAGCCCAGCTGGTGCATGGTCTTGATTGAGCAATCACCAAAGGTTTTAGTGAGCTGACTGTTGCTGAGGGAACTAAACTGTTTCCAGCTGTACCCTGTTCCACCTGCTGCTGCCTTCTCCTTCCAGCAGGATAAAGCCATCCTCCAGGTCCTGGAGAGACCTCCACCATCTACCAACATGGCCCTTGACTTCCTTGGCTCTCCTGTGCAGAGGGGCTATGGGAGCTCTCCCCAGCTCAAGTGCCCTGACTTAAGACTGATGTCCCCCAAGCCTTTCCCCCAGTGCTTTCTCCAGCAGGTAACAGGTTTGGGGGCTCTCTTGCATCCCTTCTTTCTCTGCCTCCCCACCTTGGAGGTGCAGCCTCTAGTACAGGCTTGTCTGAGTGACACTCCTTGTCGCCTGTTCTGTACCAGGCACCTGTGATGTCTCCTCGCTCCCCATGCTCTCCTCTACCCTTCCCACCAGCTTGCAGACCCCCTCCACTCTTCACTCCCAACCAGGTAATGTGTTGGGCTTTAAGCTACTGCCATGGGCCCACTGAGGTGGCCCTGGAGTAGCAGGAGAGAATGGTAGTATCTAGGGGTAGCACTTTGCCAGAGGAATGGGAGCTGGAATCCAGCACAGAGCTGGCTGACCCCTCTGGGATGCTCAGAGGGGAAGGCTCAGATCCTTGACATCCTCTCTCCCTCTCAGACAGCAGGGTATGCACCTCCGACCCCTTTCCAGCCTGGGTCTCCCACCGTGGGCAGCCCACCACGACCCCTGGGCGTGTGCTTCAGGCCCATGTCCTCTTCTTTGGACCCTGCTCTCTTCTTCAGCCCCTCAGCCATGGGCCAGCTGAACTTCAGGTAGCAGGAGTGGGATGTTAGGGTGGGACTGGAGGGCCCTACAAATTAGCTGGGGGTCACCTCGCTCTGGGGTGTCTCAAAACCCCCCTTGACTCCTGTCTGGTGTCCCCTGCAGCACACCTAGCCACATGACCCAGCTGCACCCCCAGCACCAGCGCATCCTGATGCAGCAGGGCAGGCAGGCGCAGAGGTATGGGGGTTTTTTTTGGGTGCAGGGGGAGGACTCTGGGTGGTCACAGTGAGCTGAGGTCTTCTCCTGTGCTAGTGTCTCCCCCAAGAAGCTGTGGTCTCGTAAAGCAGACCCTTATGCTGGGCTGATGACTTCCAAGGAGAAGGACTGGGTTGTCAAGGTGCAGATGATGCAGCTGCAGAGTAAGAATATGGATGATGACTACTACTACCAGGTGAGCTCCTTCTGGCTGCATTTGCTGCTTGCTCACCTCAGGGTGGGGCTTTGGGAGCTGGAGAAACCCTCCAGGACTGGTAGTGGGGACTTCTGGCTTTTCCTGTTACAGACCTACTACCGCCAGCTGGAGCACAAACAGGCAGAGGAGGAGCTGCTGGGCAGACGTAACAAACCCCCCAAGCTGGTCACGCCATTCATCCAAAAAGTGGAGACCTATGACTCTGGTGAGATGCTGGGGCAGGTGTCGGGGGGGCTGGGCAAGGAGCTCTGGGGTGTGATGTCACCATGTTCCTATTCTTCCGCAGTGGTGCGCATCGCTGGGTCGCTGGGCCAGGTCACGGTGTCCACCTGCTACAGCCCTCGCCGGGCCATTGATGCTGTGCACCATGCCCTCGTGGAGGAGGAGGTAGGTGAAGGGAAGCTCGGCTGGTTGGGGCCTTGAATTGCTAGGAATGCTGCCTTTAGAGCTGCCTTGAGCAGTGGGATGGGGCACACAGTTGGAGCTTGTGCTTGACCAGGAGTGGGATTGGACTCTGGTCAGTTGTAGCTGACCATGGTTTCCCCGTGGGACTGCTGTGTGTCCTGAAGTCACCAATGATCCCCAGGGAGCAGCTGGCCCAGCGGTGGGCTGGTGGCAGTGTCTGGGGATGGCTGTAACCTTTGTGCCTTCCTTTCTATCTTCCCAAAGGCCGCAGGGACTCACCGGTTACGGGCGCTGCACAGGATTGAGAAGGTGAGTGAGTGGTGATTTGGGGAATGGCAGGATGGTCCAGGTGTTCTATTTTCATCCGGGGATTTCTCTAAGCGGACACCTACCTAGGCAGGGTCCTGGATAGCCAGTTGGTAGTGCTCCAAGCTTCCTCCTTACCCTGTGTATTTATTTGTCCAGCTCTTCCTGCAGCTGCTGGAAGTGGAGGAGATACAACAGAAAATGTCCCTGGCCCTGAGGGAGCAACAACCCCAAAGGCAGGAGCAGAAGAGCCAAAAAGTGGAGAGTATCTACCAAGCCTTGAAAATCAGAGCTTGCAGCAGCGAAGAGTGAGTCTGTGCTATGGGGAGAGGGGAGCAGGCATGTCCTGGTCCTCGTTGATCTGAGATGATGGCAATTGATGAGCAGGTCTGGGTCACAGGAGGATCGGGTCCTTCCTTCCATGTGTCGCTACAGCCTGTGCTGACCCTGCCTGTGAACCTCGTCCTCCAGTAGAGCTGATGCTGGTCCTTTTGGATGGACAGAGATGCTCCAGGTCCCTTGGGATTTGTGCCAATTGAGCCTTTGTTCCCAGGGAGGCAGAAGATGAATTCCTGCAGCTGCTGTGTGTGCGCAAGGGCAAGAAGATCGTGGCCCGGCTGCTGCCCCACCTGATCAGAAATCAAAGGGAGAAGATCCTGCTGACCATTATCCACCACCTGCCCTTCCTTATGAAGAAGGACATGCTGGATGAGGCAAGCACCTTCAGTCAGGGCAGGGATGGCCTGGGCTGTCTCCTTCCTCCTCTGTCCTTGCTGGAGGTGGCACCCTGGGCAATGAGGGAGGCCTGTCTTGTGGGTTAGCATGGGACAGGAGCCTCTTCCTTGAGGAGGAGAAGGTCTCTAGGAGTCAGCTACTGTCAGTCCTGGTGGCACTGACCCTCCTCTCCAAGTGCTGGGCTGGAGATGTGGCTATGACAGGTCCAAGGATCTCAGATTCCTGCTCTCCCCTCTGCCCTGCCCAGTCTCTCTCCCTGCTCTTCAGCCCGTTGAATGAGGTGGTGGGAGAGATGACCTTCAGCAAACTCATCGAGGTCCTACAGGAGCTTACCCAGGCTCTACCCGAGTCTTCGGAGCTCCCCCTTACCATGGCCTTGAAGAACCAGGTATGTGGCCCTGAGCCTCATTGTGTCCCTGGGGTCCCACTGCTGCTGGCTGTGACGCTCCTGGTGCTTTTCTGCAGTTTGGCATCTCCTTGCTCTATTCCCTGCTGAGCCATGGAGAGAGGCTGCTGTCCTCACGTGTGCCACTGAAGCCATGCAGAGGAGACTTCGAGGCATGGTGAGGGACCGTGTGAGCTGTGAGGGGGGGGGGATTGTCACCATTCCACGGGGTGCTCACCCCCTGTGCTGGTGCCCCCAGGACAGACACAGTGTACCTGATGTCCCAGGAGCTGTCGCGCCTGCCTACAGCCTCACTGGCAGAGCCTCTCGTCTTGCCCAGCAACCTTGTCCTGCTCTTCTGCCGCTACCTGGACAAGCAGACTGTCTACCATCTGGCAGCCAAGATGGCTGAGTGAGTACTGCCTGGAATGGCTCCCTTCTTCTCCTGGGGATCCCTCCTGGATCCTGCTTCCATCCTCCCTTGGAATTATTTCCAGATATTTACTGGGCTGAGCTGATCCTGGTGCCTTTCCTCCCACTTCTTTGGGACAGATCAGCAACATCCAACATACTCCATCATCCTTTCCCTGCAGATGCTCCCCGCTACCCGCGGAAGCTGACATGTTCTGCTGAGCCCTGGGGATGGAGTCCAGAGCTGGTGGTGCTGCGAACGGGCAGGGCCCGATGCCGTGGCTTTGGAAGTGAACACTTACCCTGGTGCGGGGCACTCTGGGTGACACGGGCAGTGGCAGGGCTGATGCTACCCTGTCCTGGTGCCCGGGGGTGGGTGGGTGTAACTTATTTTGGCCTTCCCCCTGCAGTGGTGAGTGCTGGGTCACGGGACCAAGGCGGGGCACAGGGGCGCTGGGAGCACCTGGGGGGAGGATTTTGTCTATTGCACATTCTGTACAGTGCTTGAAATAAAATAAAAAGGTGATTAATGAGCTGCTCTGGCTCCTGGGGGCAGCTTATGTTGGATGCACAGTGGTCCTTTGGACATTGCTGGGCAGGGAGACCCCTGGCCTGGGACAGGCATCTGGCAAGGAGAAGGGAGGGAGGCTCAGAGGATTGAGGAGGAGAAAGGAATGCTTGGAGAGATGATCAGAGGCCCCACACACCTGAGCACACAGGGAGGAGAGTGGGCTGGGAACGAAGAGATGTGGTGGGGAAGATAAGTCAGAGATTGTCCTGATAGGGAAGTAAAGACTTGTGCAGGCATCTGTCAACATGTAGGGAGGTCTTAAACATATGAGGGTGGGTAATAAAGCACCTCTTGTCTCTGTCAAGCTCCCAAAGGCTATTTAGTCCGAAGTCTTCCAGTTGTGCTCACAGTGAAGTACCTTGAGGCATTTTTGGAAGCAATTCTGACTACCCCAAGCTAGCTGATCCTTACTTTTGTATCTGAGGCTGAATGTGTGCAATGTCTACTCCTACTATGGGACCCTTGGTAGCTCCTGCCTGGTTTTATGGTGAGATTTCCCCTAATTCTATGGGACAGCTGGGACTGGGCCACCTCCACCCAGCCAGAGGTCTAAACCTGACACCCAAAGCCTGGTGTGTATTCAAAAGAGGTTTGCAACAGAAAGTTGTCTCATCCTCAGACTGCCCAAGGTCTAACCCTGAGTGGATGAAACTATTCCTTCAAAAGGTCATCCTTCAGGGGCCAAAGGGAGAATTTACAGAGAATAAGGCTGTGAGGGCTTGGGTGAGATTTATCTCCACTGCTCATCAAGGTAGCTCAGTTTCTTCTGTGTCAAAATGTGAAGCCCAGCAGGCAGGACCTCTCAATTTTTCTGGCAGCTGTATCTCCTCCTGCAGCCTCTCCTACTCATCTTAAAGGATGTACATGCTTCTCATGCTTCTCATCCTGAGGGAGATTTTGGACAGCCATGTTCATTCCTAGCCATCCTCTTTAGAAGAGTGATACTGGTAGGTGCCTCATGGGGTGAGTCTCTTGTTTCAAACCCACTGAGGCAATCTGAGAGGATTCCAGTGTGGAGTCTCACCTGCTAGTGAAAGAACAGACCTTGCTGTTACAAATCCCAGAGAGAATTTGAGGTAGGAGGGAATTAGCAGCTGCTCACTGATAGCAGGAATTGGGGAGGACACTGGCAAGTCCTTCAGATAAGGATAAGTCGTGTTCTGTTTTTTGTTTGCTCCTTGCCTGGCAGCCAGTGTGGATGAAAGATGGAAGTGTGACCTGGCTGCAACCATGTACTTGACCAAATTCTCTAGCATAGAAGGTTGGAGATTTCTGCTGGATTTTGCTGCTTCATTACAGGAGACAGCTGAGGGAAAAGAAGGAAAACCTCTTTGTCACTCTCCCACAGCCAAGTGGCTCATAACACCCAGTGCTTCCCACCTGGAGAAACAGACCCTCTCCATGGGGCAGCACCCAGGAATGAATCCTACTGAGGGATGTCTTGCTGGTCAAGGACCCCCAGATCCTTCATCTGCAGCTGGATGTTCTCCCTTAGTCCGAAGCTGATGGAAGTCTAGGGTGTCTCATGTGCCCCGCACCTCCTGCTGCTCTCCTGAGAGAGGCATTGGCCCTGCAGGACGGTGGTGACCCATGACTCTGGGTTGTCACTGTCTTGGGGGGGAAAGGTGTATGGGGTTTACCCTGGAATGTTTTGGGGTATATGGAGCTCATCCACTGCTGTCTTGGGTATTGTATAGGGTTAATCTTGAAACATCTTCAAGGTGTGTGTCTCATCCTGGCATTCCTTGGGGGGTGTGTACAGGATTTATGTGGGGATGTCTTGTGGGAGTATGGAGTTAATCCTGGGAGGTTTTGGTAGGTGTATGGGGTTAATCCTGGGTAGGTTATAGGGTTCATCCTGGTCTACTTCCAGGGTTATGAGGCTTATCTAGGGGTCTTTTTGGTGATACAGGACTTACCTTGAGATGCTTTGAGGGGTATAGGTCTCATCCTAGGATATCTTGGTGCTATGTAGGGTGCATTCTGGGCATTTTTAAGGTCTGAGGCTCATCTTGCAAAATCTTGGTGGGTATATGACTCATCCTGGGATAACTTAAGTGGTTTAGGGCTTATCCTGGGATGTCTTGGTGGTGTATGGGGTTCATCCTGTGATAGTGTCGGGGTTTGGGACTTATTCTGGAACATCTTAAGGGCGAATATGGTTCATCCTGGGACATCTTCAAGGCATGTGGCCCATCCTGCCATGTCTGGAGTGGTATAGGGCTCATTCGGAGATGGCTTTTCTGGGGGGAAGGGGCTCAACCTGGGCGATGCGGGCTCACCGCCCGGGCCGTCGAGGGGACACCGCGGGCTCACCGCCCGGGCCGTCGAGGGGACACCGCGGGCTCACCGCCCGGGCCGTCGAGGGGACACCGCGGGCTCACCGCCCGGGCCGTCGAGGCACCGCGGCCACCTCGGGCACACGGCGCTCTGAGCTCAACCACTTCTTCCAGGCGGAGGGGACACGGTCTTCTTTCCGTCGGCACAATGGTACGGCCGGTACCCCCGTTTCCATGGTGACGACGCGGCACCTACCAGCGCCTGTCATTGGCTGTCGCTGCCGGCGGGCGTGGGGCGGGCTGAGACACTACCCAATCCGAAGCCCGCCCGCATTCGAGGCCCCGCCCCGCGGGTTAGGGCGTGTCGGGCGCTTCCGGCGTGGCGGGTGCGGGCGGAAGCGGCGGCGATGGCGTCGGGCGGCAGCCATGGGTCCCGCTCGCCCTCCCCGGCCGAGCGCCGCCCGCCGCCCTTCCCCGAGCACCGTGGGCTGGGGTCCCCCGACAGCGACTCGGAGGGCGAGGACATCTTCACCGGCGGCGTGAGTGCGGCCGCGGGCGGCGCGCCGCCCCGGGGGCGCTGCGGGGCTGGGCCCGTGTGCGAGGGGTTGCCCGGGGCGTCCTCTGGGCTTGGTGAAAATAGTGTGAAACACTCCAAATCCCCCAGAATAAAGGGGGGGGGGGGGGGGGGGCGATGCCTCTGGACTCATGCCCCTTCAGGGGGAACCTCCTAGAGGGGCTGCGGAGAAGGAGCCGCGGGGCCGGATAGGGGTCATAGAGTGGCTCCCGTGGCTGTGGGATTGAGAAAAGTCTTGTGCTCGGTTGCTCCCCGTTCCTGCAGAGCTACTGCCTAAAGCCGGGTTGGATGGAACTTGGAGCAGCCTGCTCTGGTGGGAAGTGTTCCTACCCATGGCAGGTGGTGGAACAAGGTGGGCTTCAAGGTCCCTCACGACCATCCTACAGTGGCAGCCACAGCTCTTTGCTGCGTAGCTTGTGCGGCTTCACTGGGAGAAGAAGCCCCATCTGTTTTTCCCCCAGCATCATCAGCTATGGTCCCCTCAACATCCAGAGGGTGCAGGCATGGCTGCCATGATGCCTTCAGTTTGAGATTGAGGGTGGTGTGGAGGGTGAGGTGACAGGAGGCATCCGGTGTCCTCTTTTCACTAGGGCTTTGTGCTGGGCTGCAGGAGAGTCTTGGAGGGTTTGGTGGTACTTGTTCAGCAAACCGTGCACAAATCCATGCTCAAGGTAGAGGTGTGAAGGCTGTCAGTGTCTTTCTTTGTTTCCAACAGTCTCCTGTGCAGGAAGTCCAGGTTGCTGAAGGCTGTTGGCAGTAACTCGTGCTGGCATTTTCTCAGGTTTGCCCCAGGCAGTGACCATCAGGCAGCAGGGGAGGTAAAACACTGACTGGTGCTTTTCCAAGCTGAATTTCCCCAGTCAGCCACTGGCCTCTGGTCCTTGGGATCAAGCATCTTCATGGAGAGAGGATCTCAGCTAGAGGAGCTGCAGGAGCTCTTCCAGCAGCCTGGAGGCTGAAATGCTGTGAAGTTGATTCCCTGAGCTACAGGAGCCTCTGCTTACCTCACCCAGACTTTTTCCAGCATGCATGATCCAGCTGGCAGCACAGGAGTTGGTGGCAGGAAGTTCTCCAGGAACATTCTGCAGTTTTCTAGCCTAGGGAGGCCTTGAGCAGGAGATTGTGGCCATGACCAAATGAACCTGCTAGGAACGACCTGGCCAAGCTTCTCCTGCCACTGACACAAAGCTGGACCCTGTCTGTGCCCTATTTCTTGTGCAGCTCCTGCCTGATGTCTGTGAGCTGTGCTCGTGTTTCCCCTTTGCAGCAGGTGATTAGGGGGAATGTGGATAGATTATGACCTTGTGAGGGTGAAACTCACTCTGCTCTGGGCAAAACAGCAGCTGGGTTGTATGTTTGGAAATCTGGGAAAGTTCAAGCCTGGGCCTTGCAAGAGGAAGGTGCTGGTACCTATGGCAGGTACTAGGTCATGGAGATGGTCTGGAACTTCACAGGACCTTTCTTTGGTGAAGAATTGGAGGATGTAGGAGATAACTTAATGGTTTGTGGTCCCACCAAGAGTGGCGAGCGCTGAGTGCCGTGGTATTTCATGGAAATCACACATCCCTGTGCTCGAAGGGGAGGCTGGTCAGCCACAGCAGCTTATCAGGTGTTTGGTTTTCTTGTGGAAGCCACTGTCATATCTAATACGTGACTGTTCTTGTGACCTGGTAGCTTTGCTTGTCTTTGCCCTTGAATGTTAGGAAAACACTTTCTGGGAAGCAAGGGGGGCAGATCTGTCTGGCTGCCAGCGTTCAGGCTGCTCAACAGCATCTGGGCATTGCCAGCAAGGAACTGTTTGGGTCAGAACTGAGTAGAGCCAGACATGGACCTCATCTGTCTGTTGACAGAGGTTGGATCCGTTTG